TCACCCATAAATACCATGGTCATTTAGCAAATGCTTAATCTGTAGATAACTTAAGACAGAAAAGGACAAGTGTTGGATGCTACCAATGCAAGACCCTAGAGATGAAATCCACAAGTCAGCTGTATTCTAAGTTACGTACTCTGTTTTCTAGATCTCATCTATATGTAGAAAGGAACAAAGGTCTATATGGTTTATTCATTCCTCTACTATCATCACATGCTTCACTTTTACCTTCATCGTGATAAATCCCCTTTTCTTTTCTGCCTCGCCCCTGTACACGTGTCTCCTGTGCTAAGCTCCTCAAATGTTAGATTGTTAATTAGGACATTCTGGGTCCCCAACTTCATCTTCCAATGTGATCAGAAACGCCAGTGGTTCCTTCTTAGGTAAAAAGAGAGGCCACATAGTAAAACGGTTATGGTCATGAGCTCTGGCCTCCAAAAATCTGAGTTCTCCCACTCACTAGGTACGCAAACTTAGGTAGGCTATGTAATTCGTCCACCAACAACATGGAGATGATGATAATGTGATATACCTCTATAAAGATCAAATGAGATAACACATGAAGCGCTTAGTAGACCACCTCATACAAAAAGTACTTAGAGTTGTTCTTTTTTTTTTTTTTTTAAAAGTTAATGTCAGGGGCGCCTGGGTGGCGCAGTCGGTTAAGCGTCCGACTTCAGCCAGGTCACGATCTCGCGGTCCGGGAGTTCGAGCCCCGCGTCGGGCTCTGGGCTGATGGCTCAGAGCCTGGAGCCTGTTTCCGATTCTGTGTCTCCCTCTCTCTCTGCCCCTCCCCCGTTCATGCTCTGTCTCTCTCTGTCCCAAAAATAAATAAACGTTGAAAAAAAAATTAAAAAAAAAAAAAGTTAATGTCAAATCACACATGCTCTGGTCCTTTCAACTCTGAACATTCATGCCAGATAGCCTTGATATGGTTCTCATTATTTCTGTAACTCTAATTATCACATTCATGTCAAATGAAGACAAACCAAACAAACAAATAACGACAAAGACAGAAACCGACTCGTAAATATGAGAACAAGCTGGCGGTTGCCAAAGGGGAGGGGAGTGGGGGATGGGCAAAGTGGGCGAAGGGGATTAAGAGGTACAAACTTCTGGTTCTAAAATATATAAAATATAAAATATATATGAAAAGCACAGCATACGAATGTAGCCAATAATACTGTAGCACACTTATCATGGTGAGCATTTTGTAACGCACATAATTGTTGAAACACTATGGTGTATACCTAAAATTAATATTGTATGTCAACTACACTCAAATTAAAAAAAAACAACAACACTTAAAGACATTAAAAACACAGCCATTTTCCCCTAGGAAGACATATAAAACTAATCCTCAAACGCTTCATATGATAGAGCTTCAGATATCTTTATAAGACAAGGCCATTCACTGGAGATACAATTAGAAGCAAGCGCTAAGTAGCCACATGGACACCCTATCTTCTCCAAATGACACATTTCTCCAAATGAGAAATAAATACTTAGAGTCAAAGGTACTGCTTAAAAAAAAAAAAAAAAGAGCCTTAGGCAGACCTCATTCCCTACAATACCACACAGAGTCTCAGATATTTCTTTTTTAATTTTTTTAATGTTTATTATTTTTGAGACAGAGAGACAGACAGAGCGTGAGTGGGGGAAGGGCAGAGAGCAAGAGGGAGACACAGAATCTGAAACAGGCTCCAGGCTCCCAGCTGTCAGCACAGAGCCCGATGTGGGGCCCGACCTCACAAACCGTTGAGATCATGACCTGAGCGAACTCGGACACTTAACTGACTGAGTCATCCAGGCACCCCCAGCTATTTCTCTATTTGACAGCGAAATGAAAGCTAAAGGAACCAAGTGGCAATCAGGGAACTTGGATTCTAGTCCTAGCTCTGCCATTGATGGTAATTTGTTTCCGTGTTTTCGGCCTCAGCGTCCCAATTTGTACAAAATGAGGAGGGCTTCAGGAGTCAGCAAAGAAAATGGTCAGCGGCAGGCTAAATCCATCCATCTCCATTCATTTATATATTGGCTACAGATGCCTTCCGGCTAGAACGGCAGAGTTGAGCAGGGCCAGTTACAAAAGAAACTGTATGGTCTACAGAACTGAAACTGTTTACTATCCGGTCCTTCTGTAGATAAAATGCCAGACCCTGGAGTGATTTTCGAATTGTTCTGTGGAGTGCTTCAGAGGCCACGGTGGTGGGTAAGTTGTATCAAATGGCTTCTCTTTTACGTGTTGTATATATTAGGGTTCTACCTAAACCTTAACTTCAACAAAGACTGCCACATTGTCGAAAATATATATGAATATATACATGTTCTTGTGTGTTGTCTGTCTGCCCTAGCGATTGGGCCTGTCATCTGACCTCACTCCGTGATCTTTTCACACGTGACACCTCAGC